GTGGAATTAAAATCATTCTTCTTTGTTGTGCACTACAGGTGTTAGGTAGGCAGAAGAACGCAGAGTTAGCTTTGGAGAATTAGCACAGCAAAAATTTTATCTGCTGGTCTTGGTACCGGTAAATCATGACTGCATTACGACCAACGGTTTAGGGTTTAAGGCTTACGCAGAAATAAGGCAAATACGGGGATAGAGGTATAGAGAGTTCAAAAGACTCATAAGTGTCCCAGAACGCTCTTGCATAACATATCTACCCGACAGCTTCAAAGCTGAGAGGAGCAGAGCTGGGATCAGATAGATTGTCAGGCAGAGTTAGTACAGGCTAGCTTAGGCAGGGGTGAAAGGTGGTACATCCTCCCTCAGGGAAGTAATCAATGCTGCCCACTCGGGCCTCCCAGCCATAATGGGGAGGAGCGTGTATGAGTTCTATATGTATTCCATATCGACTTGCCGGGGGAATAGGAACTGGACTGTCGCTCCCCAGAATGGTGGGAGCCAGAACCGAGAGGTTCTGTTCTTATTTAAAAAAAAAAAACAATTTCGTATTTGCATTTCTGGCAATTTATTTTGGGTGGGGGGTTTCATCAATGGGTTTGATACACTGTCAAGGAATTTTTGGAACCAAAAAGAAGCACAAAAGCCATGGCATGTTTATTGTTCAATGGGGAAATAAAACAATTCGGTGTTTTCAAACGACAGTGGCCATCATATCGCCAATCCAACATGAAAGAATACTAAACCAATTGATATGGAAGAATCCTCCCCCCCAGGAAAAAAGGTGCCATGATCAGCAGTCCTTTTTCGCCTGTCTCGGATATCTGCCACCCCAGAGAACTTTATGAACACCTTATGCGTTTCATCACTTCTTCATTCTCTTTGTCTGTTTAGTTCCTCATCCTACTCCTTCAAAGTGCCCGGCACTTCCTTTGTCTATCTCTTCATGCCCTCTACTCTGTCCTCCCCCTCCTCCTCCTCCACTTCTTGCTTCAAGTCGCCCTCTTCCTTCTTTGTGTCCCTCCTCTAACTCCACCGATTGCCAAGTCGTCATCACTCATAGCTTCCACCAGATCCTTCGTTCTCCTCCGTTCTCTCTCTCTCTCTCTCTCTCTGAAACGGTATTCACCACTTCGCAGTAGCTGATGCAGATCCCAGGGCTCGATCCCTCAACCCGTAGATTTGAACCTGCAACCTGTAGGACCGCCAGTGGTAGGTAGGATCTCGTAGGTTACAGGGTATAGGGGATTCAAACTGTAGACCTGTCGGGTAGGAGTCTAGACAGTCCAGAGGTCGTAGCTGTAGATTGTCCGAAGAGTCAAAGTCGTAGCTGCTACTTACCTGAAAGGGCAGAGTCGTAGCTGCTACAGTCCCGAAAGGCCAAAGTAGAGGTTTCTAGAAGTGGCCTTTCGGAGTCAGCCCCTGTTTCGGTAAAGGCAAGTGGTCAAGTGGTGTAGGTCCACCACGCTGAGTCAACAGTCCCAGTCCAGTCAGTCCGGTCCTGTCCAACAAGTACCGTCTGGGACTGTGTGCACCGAGGGCCCAGGGTTACAGGGCAGACCAACGCATCACAGAAGTATAAATCAAGAGGCYGCGCCCAGCCATTCATTCATTCCTGCGGAAGCCATGCGGAAGCGCTGCCTCAGCGTCTTGTGCGAGGAGGTCTGCAGGGTGCCGGAAGTCGAAGTGGGCAGAGAAGTGTAGTATAGCGATAGGGTAGTGGCAGCTAGCGCTGCCATAGCTGTAGTGGTGTGTGTGTGTGTGTTGCGTGCGTGTACAGAGTGTCGTGTGTGGGATATCCAGGGTGATCCAGTGTGTGAACAGTGGATGTTGGGCGCTTAGTCGCCATAGCCAGTGAAAGCGAACTTACCTGGAAGCCATATCTCTGTGTACTGTGTGGGCGCATGTCGCCAGTTTGTCGTGCTACTGTTCACGTGCATGAAAAGTGTGAAAGAGCCGAGTCTGATTGCACTGGTATCAGAGCTGGTTCCCGCTATCCCATGCGCGCCGTCGTGTGCAGGGCCGATGCGCCATAGCTGAGGTGGCCGCTGGAAGGAGAAGTCCGCCATAGCGGACCTGAGGTGGAGGAAGCCGCCGCGCACCTGCAAGGAGACCACGACGAAG